CAAAATATTTCTTCAGGATTAAACTAGCTTACCTCTATTTTATTTAGAGGATACATGAATCAGCAAAATTAAATATTACAAACCCTACTAGCAAGTAGAAAAAGTAAATAAGAAAGGAAACAATTAATGTTTAATATTGGACAACAAAAGAAGAAGGTAGGCGTGAAAGGAAAGGAGAGGAATGATGTTTTTTTGCTGATGGTCACTTCCTTGGCAAGTGACAGCCTATTTATAGTTGTAATTGCATGAAGCTTGAATTTTGCATGGCAAAAACGTGGCTGAACATTTGCCACTTTTTAATCTTCTTTTGCCACTAATCATAACCTTCTAGAAGGGCTAAAACACTTATCCAAAGGGCATTAAAATATTGCCACAGTTCCCCACTATTTAAAGGTCTTTTGAAATAAACTTGCTGGATTTGTATGGTCTAAATGTAATAGGTTTGGTGTCTTCTAGAATATGAACCAAACTTAAATCAATAAAAATTTAACTCACAGAATTACTGGTGAAATTTAATATTTCTATGAACCAATAACTCTCATTTTAAGTCAGAGATTTTATCAATCACACTTCGACCCTCAATATTTTGTTGTTCAACGCGGTTTTCCGCCACTAGGCCATGCGCATGCCTGGTGATTCATGAGAGCTCTAAAGATTTGACCAAAATCTCATAGGAGCGGCCCACTCCACTCTCATATAGGTGAATTCATCAAGTGTATACTGCTTTTAAATACACCATTCATAAGGTCTATGAATTTCATTAATAGTTATAAATCAGCCTCTCAATTAGTAGCAGTCAAACACTCTCTTTTAGTGGTTCAGTTCCAATATCGACTTGTTATTACCCATATGAACCCACTTCATGGGATCTCTAATCACATAGGTTGGGTTACCATTTCTATTGACAACATGTCGGCATTAACCCCATCTCTTTTGAGGTTTGAAGAATTAATTTTCTTCCTATGAGTTTAGTCAGAGGATCAGCCAAATTTATCTCTGACTTCACATAGTCAATGAAAATTATTCCATCTCTCAACAACTGTTTTATGACATCATGTCTCAATTTAATGTGTCTACTTTTACAATTATAAGATTTATTCTTTGCTATATCTATTGTTGCCTGGTAATCACAATGTATAGACACATGAGGCAATACGTCCTTTATTAAAGGGATATTAACTAAGAAGTTTCTTAGCCACTTAGCCTCAAAACCAGCTAACTCTAGAGCTACAAACTCTGATTCCATAGTCAATCTAGCAATGATCGTCTGTTTAGCTGTTTTCAAGATATTGCACCACCACCAAGGGTGAATACATATTCACTCGTGGATTTTGTCTCATCTGAATTAGAGATCCAGTTTGCATCACTGTACCCTTCTAAAGTAGAAGGAAATCCACAATATAGGATACCATAATTCATGGTTCCTCTCAAATATTTCATTAGTCTATCTAATGCAGACCAATGCTCTCTGTTGGGATTATGAGTATATCTGCTCAGTCTGCATACTGCATAGGCTATATCAGGTCTTGTAAAATTCATTAAATACATCAGACTCCCAATAATTTGAGCATATTTAGACTGAGCAACTAGGTCCCCATTATTCTTTTTCAACTTAGAGTTAGCATCAAAAGGAGTGCTCACAGATGTGACATTAAAATATTCAAACTTCTTAAGAAGTCTCTCAACATAATGTTCTTGAGACAATATTATGTCATATTTACTCCTTATAACTTTAACTCCCAATATCATATTTACTTCACCCAGATCTTTCATATCAAAATTAGCAGATAAAAATAATTTATTACTTTGTACAATATTTAAACTTGTACAAAATATAAGCATGTCATCAACATACAGATATATTATCACATAATCATTGTCTACCACTTTAGTATAAACACATTTATCCACCTCAACTGAAGAAAAATTGTCTCTCAGTAAGACTTATTCAAATTTCTCATACCACTGCTTAGGAGCTTGTTTAAGGCTATAAAGAGATTTAATTAATTTACAAACTTTATTTTCTAGTCCAGGAATGACACAGCCTTCAGGTTGAACCATATAAATCTCTTCTTCTAAATCACCATTTAGAAAAGCAGTTTTCACATCCATTTGGTGGATAAAAAGCTTACGGATTAAAGCTAAGGCAATTAAAATTCGAATAGAAGAAATTCTAGTCACTCGTGCAAATGTATCAAAATAATCTATATTTTGTTTTTGAGAAGAACCTTTTGCTACTAACTGAGCTTTATATTTATCTAAAGATCCATCAGGATTAAATTTTCTTTTGAAAATCCATTTACAACCAATAGGCTTTGCACCAGGAGGTAAATCAGTTAAAATCCATGTATTATTTTTCTTAATAAAATCAATTTCAACTTTTATTGTCTCTTTCTAATATTTAGCATCAGAAGAAGATATAGATTCAAAATAATTTGATGGTTCATTATCGACAAGAAAAGTTTGAAAATTATTTCCATATGAAAAATATTATTTCCTAGGCCTTTTACTCCTTCACAATTCCTCATTAGAGGTAATTTCATTATTTGTTTCAACAGGTATATTATAAATTTTATCAGATAGTGGAAAAATATGCTCAAAGAATTTTGCATTCTTTGTCTCAATTATACTATTGCAATCAAGCACATCACTTTTTAAAATAATAAATCTATATGCAGCACTATGTTCAACATATCCAATAAACATGCAATCGGCAGTTTTAGAACCTATTTTTCTCTTTTTAGGTTCAGGCAAAAGAACTTTAGCAAGGCACCCCCACACTTTTAAATATTTCAAATTAGGTTTATAACCCTTCCATAATTCATAAGGAGTTTTGCATGTTTTCTATATGGTATTCTATTTTATAAGTGACATGCAGATAAAATAGCTTCACCCCACAAGTTATCAGGAGCATTAGAACTAACTAACATAGAGTTCATCATTTCTTTCAATGTTCTATTTTTTCTTTCAGCTACTCCATTCGACTCAGGTGAATAAGGCGGAGTTACTTCATGAATAATTCCATTATTTTCACAAAATTTATTTAAAGATAAATATTCTCCACCTTTATCTAATCTAATTCTCTTGATTTTTTTACTAAGTTGATTTTCAACATCAGTATTATAAGAAATAAAAGCATTAAATGCATCATCTTTGTTCCTAAGCAAATACAATTTAGTATATCTAGAAAAATCATCAATAAAAGTCACATAATATCTTTTACCACCTCTAGTCATAGTCTGCTTCAAGTCCGCCTAAATCAGTGTGAATTAAAGATAACAATTCAGTTTCTCTATTTACGAAAAAATAAGTCTAGTACTTTTAGCTTCAACACATATTTCACACTTGTTAATATTATTTGAGTCTAAACTAGATATTAATCCTAGTGACTGCATTTTCTTTATATATGTGACATTAACATGTCCTAGTCTAGCATGTCATAGAGAAATAGATTAAACCATATACGTAGAAGTAGATACATTTCCATTGATAACATCAGAAATATTAAGTACAAAGAGTCCTTGATTATAATAGCCCTTTCCCACAAATACATTATTTATTGTCATTATAGTCTTATCAGATTCAAATGACACTTTCACTCCGGCTCTTCCCAACAAGGATACAGAGATCAAGTTTGCCCTCATAGTAGGAACATGCAATACATCAATAAGGGCTAAAGGTTTTCCCGAAGTGAGTTTCAGGAGAACTTTACCCTTGCCCAAGACTTTGGTAGTACTTGAGTCTCCAAGGTAGACCTCTTCTCTATCATCCTCTAGAGGAGTATAAGAGGAAAATGCTTCTCGATTTGCACAAATGTGCCGAGTAGCCCCAGAGTCTATCACTCATTCTTTTGCATGTGCTGCAATGTTTACTTGAGAAATGGCAGATGCAATAATATCACCTCCTTCAGCTAAGTTAGCCTTAGGAGTATTTAGTTTTTCCTTTGTCATTTCCTGATTTGTACCTGCACTGTGAGGCATGATGGCCCGGTTTTCCACAAACAAAACAAGAGCCTTTTTTTCTTTTAAGGTTAGGATTTTTAGGCTTGCAACCTTAAGACTTATTCTCGTACCTTTTGCGATTGTTCTTGCTGCTTTGCACTAAGTTTGCTTTAAGAGCGGTCATCCTAGCTTTGGCAAATTCTTTTCTATTGGAATCTTTAATTAGGATGTGGGTCACAATTTCCTCAATGGTGAAATTTTTCTGTTTGTGCTTTAAGTTATTTTTGTAGTCACTCCATGAGTCAGGCAGCTTCTCAATTAGCACTCCAGCAGCAAACTTTCTGGTAAAGACATTCCCTCGGCCTTCAAGTCTTCTAACAATTTTTGAAATTCATTGATTTATACGTTCATCTCTTTATCATCTCTCATCTGCCACTGATAAAATTTTCCTACTACAAATTTTTGTTTTGTAGCATCTTCAGTAGCGAATTTTTTAATTAAGGCTTCCCATATAGCTTTTGCTTCTTTATAACTGCAATACACGTCAAACAGTTCATTAGAAATAGTTTGCAATATGGTATGACAGCATACCTTGTTGGCGTGTTGCCATGATTCCACTATTTTATTATCAGCGTTTGCACTAGGTTGTGGATGTAACAGTGCATGTGAAACACCATGGACATCAAGCAGTGAGAAAATACGTTCTTGCCAATGCTTGAAATTTTCATTGGCGAAAAATTCGATATTTGACACATCTGGAAATGGCTTGGCATATGGTAGTGCAACTGGGGCTGGAGCAACGGACGTAATGCCAATATTGGCAGTATCAGTAGTATTTTCAGCATCAATGTTATTTGCCATAGTTTCTTAGATTGTAGTAATTGAAAGCAAAAATTTCAATAACACTATTTCAATATTCTCTGTAAGCAGTTACACGAATTAGCTTGAGTCGTGTTGGGTACTGTCCTAAGAAACTATTTCAGCTGTGTAAAATGTTTCTCCAATTAAACAAGCTTACCTCTATTTTATTTAGAGGATACAGGAATCAACAAAATTAAATATTACAAATCCAGCTAGCAAGTAGAAAAAGTAAATAAGAAAGGAAACAACTAATGTTTAATATTGGACAACAAAAGAAGAAGGTAGGCGTGAAAGGAAAGGGGAGTAGTGATGTTTTTTTGCTAATGGTCATTTCCTTGTCAAGTGAGAGCCTATTTATAGTTGTAATTGCATGAAACTTGGATTTTGCATGGCAAAAACGTGGCTGAACATTTACCACTTTTTAGTCTTCTTTTGCCACTAATAATAACCTTCTAGAAGGGCTAAAACACTTGTCCAAAGGGCATTAAAATATTGCCACACATATCACTTAGAACTAGGACCAATGAACTACCTCTAAATTAGCAAAACTTCCCCAAATCTTCTAGCTCAGGAATAAAAGTTCCAGTATTAGATGGACGAGCCTTGCCATATAATCGTCAACTCTATCTATGCTACCAGCAGTAGGATGTCTTGACTTCAGAATGCAATTTCTGATCTAACTAAAGCTAATGCCACAAGGAGCTGAGCCTTGACGCAAGTTTTGCACTCTTGTAATCGTCGCGAAGTTGAATAAACCTGAGTTTGCAGACACAAGAAATGTTATCCTAGGATGAAAAACAGGCTAGAAATAGAGTAAAAAAGAGCTCAAAAAACTGTTCCTTCTTATGCGAACTTGTACAGGCTGACAAGCATAACGGAATAGAAGTCATTCAACCTTTTTAGTGTTTACTAGGAGTACTAATAAAACAGAATTTTGGTTATTAAAAACTGTGGTGGACATTTCACTTAAACACATGCATAACATGACAAAGAGCAGATCTTTTTTCTTTTTTGGAAAACTCCGGGAAACCCGTAGCCGCTACCTTTCGAGTGTGCACTGGGTAACCTGCTCACTATGCAATAGCTCGCAAACCACATAGAAGATTTAAACCGCACTAGGCAATGCGACGAGCTCTGACTGAGGAGGTTGCTGGTGAGAGGAATCGATCCCAGGTCTCCCATGTGGGACACCACTCCCCCAACCAACTTAGCAACCCCTTGCGGATGTGCACTGGGTAACCTGCTCACTATGCAATAGCTCGCAAACCACACAAGAGATGTAAACGACACTAAGCAAGCCCGGAGCGACGAGCTTTGACTGAGGGGGTTAGTGGTGAGGGGAATCGATCTCAGGTCTCCGTGTCGGAAACCAATCACCCACCCCTTGTGGGCGACAAAGAACATATATTATAGAAGTAATCACGTGAGAATCTGCAGGAAGCACAATGTAGATTTCTGCACACAGTGCACAAGAATATGTATTTTAGTTACCTCTGAGCATCTTTCTTAATGCTTGGAGTTCCCTCAAACAGTGGGCCAAGACTTTCAGGAGCAACAATAAACACATTTGCGATGCTGAAGCAAAAGTTAAAACAGGAAACATTAGGGGAGAATATATTTAGTATAAGGCCTACAATTTTCAGAACACTTGCTACTTACATCCCGAGCTGTTCAAATTTCTCATCAATCTGAGGGGCATTGAAACTACGAACAAACTCCCCATATTCTGTTATATCACGCTTCAAACGCAATCCTCCACTGCACAAGCCAGAGAGAAATTATGTCAATTAGAAGTAACATGATAAGTAGATGAAGCAGCTTTGAGCAAATGCAAATCGTAATTTGAACTGTGCTATGAATTGGCACAAAAAGAACATCAACATCACCCTTCTCTTTCGCTACACTATCATCAGAAGAATCTTTGATTATTTTTTGGCCTTCTTTTTTCTTTTTTCTCTAGTCTTCTTTATTTTATCACAATTTCTGGGGATCAATCTTGATTCACCACAATTCATTCCTCTTGCATAAAGATATGTGCCTGATTACATTACATTGCCTAATTATATCATGGTTAACCTTTTATTTGGCTCCCAAAGCCGATTTAACTATGAAATATTTACATACAACAACAACAACAATAAAGCTTTATCTTAATTATTAATTATGATCTCTGAATTTCGTTAATCCATGATTACAGGTTCAACACGTCAATGAGAGGAAGTCTCTATAGTTTCTTTTTGCACCCATAATTCTACAACCCAAGCAACACTAAATGCACAAGAGAAAGGAATTACCTAGGATTAAAAGTGAGCTTTTGCCAATGGTTAAGCAATGCTTTGTGCAAGCGATTCCCCTATAACAGATTTAAAACATAGAAAAACACAGCGTCAATACTAGAAAGTCTGATACAAAGACTACTAAATACAGCATCAAAAACAGTTGCAGATAATTTAAAGATGGGTTAATTGTCAGACTCAACAGAAACACATAGAACTAAAAGGGATGCAGGGAGCCAAAATCTTAATTTCATCCCAGCATTCATATAACAAATGTATGGAGGCACAAACCAACCCTGCATATCTACTTAGCAGATCAATTTACTCGGTTCCGCTAATTGGTGAATCTGAGAGCTACAAGCTAGGTCATGTGTAATGCCATTAAAGTAGATTATGCCAATTCAAAAGAGCTACTGAACAATTTCCAAAAACAGAATTCCTTGAAACTACAAAAAAAGCCGATTGGGATTTGGGGCAAGGATCAATTGCCATACGTCTAGAAACATCATTGGACCGGGCAATCTCAAGAACATAATTTTACTTGATAGATGATTAAGAGAATAGTTTGAACATCAAGGGGTTGGAAAAAAATAAGAGCATTAGAAGCAAGAAGAATATTAGCATACCAATTCAGTCAGGAACGCTTGTTTGTTAAGCCCTTCCAATCCAGTGAATGCCGACTCAAGCACACGAGAAAGATATGCAACAACACTGGTCAATCGAGAATTATCAGCATATGATAAATGAGGAAATTAAATATATGCATCTTGTAACTAATATATATGAAGCTTCACCATGCACAAGCACTTGTTGGCCGATGGTCGGGGATAATGCCATCATCAGGTGATCGATAATCTGTTGCTTTTTGCTCGGTTGACAGTAGCCTTTCCACCTGATAACAGTCAAAGAAGGGGAAACACAGTATCAAATAAAATGCTTGGTTCGAGAGCACATACACAAAACAACAACAACCCAGTATAATCTCACTAGTGGGGTCTGGGGAGGGTAGTGTGTACGCAGACCTTACCCCTACCCTGGGGTAGAGAGGCTGTTTCCGATAGACCCTCGGCATCCTTCCTCCAAGAATTCCCCACCTTGCTCTTGGGGTGACTCGAACTCAGAACCTCTTGGTTGGAAGTGGAGGTCGAGAGCACATACACAAAACAACAACAACCCAGTATAATCTCACTAGTGGGGTCTGGGGAGGGTAGTGTGTACGCAGACCTTACCCCTACCCTGGGGTAGAGAGGCTGTTTCCGATAGACCCTCGGCATCCTTCCTCCAAGAATTCCCCACCTTGCTCTTGGGGTGACTCGAACTCAGAACCTCTTGGTTGGAAGTGGAGGTCGAGAGCACATACACAAGAACAGGAAAATTTAAAATAGTTGGTAAAAGTGATCAATAGGATCTTTTGCCTAGGGAAGATAAGGTGTCCACATATACCACATATCAAGCCTATAGTCCTATACAGCAGAGCAGATATTATGAAGCACCAACCTCAGCCATGACAGTTTCAATGCACTGTTGAAGTCCCTTACAGGCAACATTCTCTGCACGCGACATAGCTGTTGCCATTTCTTCACTGGAAGCAGCATGAGCACCATCCACAGGAAGCAAAAGCCGCGATAAGGAGTTCACAAAATACTGAAGAAAAGCAAGACTTTAGTTGCAATTGAGTGTTTCAAGAAGCATAAAAAAAAATCTAATTACAGTTCAAACCAACCCACTTGCTGCAAAATAGCCACACTGCTTCCACAACGTTGCACAGCGAGCATGAAAGATCTGAAACTGCTTTCGCCAGCAGCAGCTGCATTTTCCGCCTATATACCACCAAACATATCATAAGCCAGCTGGTCATTCTCTACCATTTAGATGTTGTACAAAGTACAAACTTTGGATCATAAAAAAGACAGAATAATTACGGCAGAAGCAGCAGCTGCAGCAACTCTTCGGCTAACACTAGTTCCCAGCAAGTGCTTTTCCCTTAAGGCAGCAGCTTCAGTAAGACCATCTCGGGCTCTTTCAAGACCTCCTGTTATGTATTGACTTACCTGCAAAAGGCTAGAGTAAGGCAAACAATTGTATCACAACAGCTACAAGTGCCTTAATCACAAACTAGTTGGGGCTGGTTATATGAATCCTCAATAACCATTTCTATTTGGCTTGTTTCATTCTATACTCAATAATTCGTTCTTTAGCACAAATTAGGTATTATCCGAAACTAGCCATCCCTAAATTTAAATAATATATATACCTGAACTAAAAGGACTCTTGTCAAACACCAGACTTAATGTAAGTGTAACAAGGATGAGGACCTAATGTAAGTGTACATACACAGGACGGGGACCTAATGTAAGTGTACAAATAACAAGGGTAGTCATTATGTGGACATGTTGTGCCTTGCAATCCAACATTTATTTCCATATAATATTGCAGGTTTCAGGAGAATTTTATAGAACTTACCTTTTACTTTGGTAGCTATACTCTTATTGCATAGCTTTGTTGTAGCATTTTTCCATCCCAGTCAATCCTTTTTTAACTCTGCATTACAACTTCATCTATTTGAATTGACTGCATTTAGGCAACACAATGCATCTAATTTCACCTTATATCATTCTTCATATGCTGGCTAAATTTAGGTGTATATTTATTTTTTTGTTACTTCTACTTATCCTAAATCCATTGCTCTCTAGAGTGCTTCTCTATAGTTCAAGATTTTGGTTGACTTCTTTGCTAGTTTCGTCTCTTAACACAATACTGTCTGCAGCTAATATACCATAGAGTCCTATCTTGTATACTATTGATTAGCTTATCAATAACTAGGGTAAATGAGTATGATGCAACCCATGATTATGGGAAAAAATCTTTTATATCTCCACTCTTTTAACACTTGTTAAAGCTCCTTTCTACCACAATAAAGCAAAAAGATATTACAAAAATTGAATGGGACTCTTGCCTTCATCATCAAATATGTTTCTATACAAATTCAAGATAATTTCCGCAGTTAATGACAAGTAAAGAGAACAAAATAAAAATGTAACTCCTTAATTCTTCACTAGAGGAATTTCTTACATGAATTCTCAATCTGAGAGAAATGCAGATTAAAAATCAGCTACAGAAAATTTGGATCTATCATATAAGACGTATATTTTACTATCTATGAAATTCCAATTCAATTCTTCAATACTTCCCAATAACATGATGAAAGAATTATAAGATGGCGTCAACAGGAACAAACTCTAAACATAAACAAAGGTGATGAACTTACTTGGTCCAGAAGACATGTGAAAACAACTTTAACACTAGCAGCAAGTGTCGCAGGCTGTGCACAAAACGTACTGATCAATTAGTTTCTCCCTGTAGGTTTCTAACTGAGAAATAAAACAGTTGAAAAATAGATCAACATGTTAGGAGAATGGATATCTAAAGACGTGTACCAGTGGATGACAAATTAAAAAGATAAGTAACTACGGCTTATTTAATTACTACAAAAATTAATGCTCTAAATTGTCTTTATATTCATATTGCAAATTGAGGACGTGACATCGTGAAGCTTAAATTGAAGACATTGAAAATTTAGCACCGCTCTCCTCAATTTTACATGGATAACTAGCATATGCATCAATGCAAATCCAGCTAGAGTTATGAGGCTGGGCATCAAAGGAGAAACATGATAAAAGTGTGAGATAATAGTCCTTCATGTACTTGTTTACTAATTAATTGAATTCATTCTTCTCAAAAGATGAAGTAACATGCAAGCGGTAATTAGTAAAATTGACAAGACTACTGACAAGGTGTTATTGTCACAAAAGGTAACACTAGTAGTACATTTGTATCCTGTTTGCATAATAATGTTTAACAATAATCACCTTATGCTGAAATAAAACACAGGACACAGTCTTCTACTAAATACGGTGAAGCACTGATGCAACGTATATATAGGAAACTGTATCCAACATTTTTGCTTTTTGGTATCCAGACTCCAGCTGAGATGCACATACTATGCACCTAGGATACGATTATCTGAAGTGTATTTTGCTCTTCATTACTTTTATATCTTTGAATACGGCATCCTAAAAATGGGTACATAAGGGATAGGGAAATAGTCCAAAAATAGAAGAAAAAAGAATATGACTCTAGGACTTGGGAGTTAAAGCAAATAGAAGGTCTAAAATTCTGACCGACAGAGGGATTCATACAAGCAACATTTGGCGACAAATTCTAGAGTGTTGTTCAAAAATTCAAAAAGAAATTGATGGTTGGAAGATACAATTGGGGAGAAACTTTAATGAATGGGAGACTTATAGGGTCAATATGCGACTGCAATTGATGGAGAAGCTGGCATTGGATGTAAGCACAAAAGGCTCCTTTGGTAAAAAGCTAAAGAGGACGGCAGATGCTCACTTAAATCTTGTTATCAAGCTCCTTAGAAAAATTAAACCAGTGAGATTGGGATGTTTAGCTCTACATGAGGCATATCAAGCTGATGACAATTTGCAAAGAAGAGTATTTAACCTATATAGTGGTGATTTATTAATTGAGGATTTGGCTGAATCCGCAAAATGTACTGCCACACTGTAAATTTACTTCGCAATTTCGTATTTTTTTTATTTTTAAATTTTAACTGAATCCAGTGCCGATGCCTTCAGTTTAAAACAAACAGTAATCAGTTGGCTAGGAAAAAAGCTAAGGATCAGATGCTGGCATGGAGAAGAATTCCTTTATATGGATTTTGGACAGTTTTGCTAGAAAGAAACCATGTGTTTCAAGAGTAATCAGATTACTCTCTTGTAAAGTTTAGTTTTTTTTAGAATTAAGAATTTGGTGTAAGATAATGGTTGCAAATGACATATATACAATGCTGGATTTTATAGATTGCCGACAAACTTAAAGGGACAAATCCAGCTCTTTTGCATATAACCAGCGAAATCTTTGTGCTGAGGTCCTTTGAATAAAATGTATTTTTCTTACAAAAGAAAGCATGGAAAAGCCTGTCACTCCCTATGTATGTATAAGTCAAGTATTGGTTTTCGCTATTCTACCGACCTCTCTATGAACTAAATAATTTATTGGTATGATATGGAAATCTGCGCATACAAGATGTCCGACATAGGGAATCTTGCGCTTTCACTATCAGCAGTTATTATACTGCCTAAAATCTTTTCAATCCATATTCTAATCTGACTAGCCCACGGCATCTTTTTTAAGAGAAGAGGTTAAGAACTCGATTGGACTTGCAATGGATATGGTGTCAACAAAATCTACTCAGACAATTCAACAAGCCTAATGCAATAAATAGTTCCGTTTAGTCTGCCAAGCAAAGGCAAAATATTAAGAGATGATGAAGGTGCGGCTTCAGCAAGATCTTGAAACATGTCATATATACCTGTAATGAAAACAAACTGCATCTGGATGTTGCTTCTTCATTCCAACGAACAAACTCTGTCACCACAGCGACAGAAATTTCAGGGTTAGAAAGTGCCATTGAAGCACCTTTTGAGCGTCCAATTGTCCCGGACGACTCTGAGGACAGCTGGTTTTCAGTACGCAGTTCGTCCATCTGCAAATTAAAGCAAGAAGTCCGTTCAATATTGTTCAAGAGCAGGGTTCAGTAGAATGATATGCTATAGGTGGAAAACTTTTATAAACATCTAATAAGTTCAGAAGTGTCTATTATTACAATGACATTGTGGAGTTTCAAGATTGTTTAATGCTCTCCAGAGACAGGTAGCCTTGTCAGCTACCGTGCAAAAATTTCATGCAAACTATGTTTAAATTGGCGGGAGCTTATGTGGAGTAAATCTTTTGCAATTTATATGGAACCTACTTGGTGCTTTGGATCGGAAATATCTCAAGGTTCCCAAGAGCCAGTTTATACCGGAAAATCGACAACCAATAAATTCTTTCTTTTATTTGTTATGATAGATTTTACTTCAGGAGTTTTGATTATTTATATCATGAAAATATCTTCTTTCAAAATTTTCTTCTTCTACCTAAGCAAAAGAGAGAAAAATGGATTCCTTAAACAAAAACTAGAGTGATAGACTGTTCAAAGAGAGAAACTGCCACAAACCTTAGCTTTGTAAAGTTGCTTAAGAGAGGCTTGCTCGCACTCCACGTATATGTCTTTGTGTGGTAGAAACAAAGACTCAGTCAAACCTGAACCAGAAGAAAAATGGAGATGACAAATATAATCAACATAAACAAAGTCAGTCAAAGAAATTAGAAAAGGAAAGAGTCTGTGATCAGGACAATCTAGATTGGCCTTGTGGTTAAAAAATACGGAGTTGCTTCAAAGAATCCAAAGACAGCGGCAGGCCACAGTAAGCGATGTTACAGGACTAGAGCTTTTCTGGAGTTTTTGAAAATGAAGCAAATGTAAAAACTATCTTAGCGTACTACAAGAAGCATTACACTTTCGATTTGATATAAGTTGTCATGTATTTACCATTTTAGTTTATTTCTCTTAAACAGGTAAAACAAAAAAAGGATTCTACAATGTTAATCAATCAATAAATGTCTAAAGCAGTACATGTTTCAAAGGACAGAAAAGAACAGAAGTTGGGTATCCAAGACTTCTCTTTATTAAGAACCAGGCATCCTAGCAATACCTACAACCCAAGTTTCTTCAAGAATCTGTTTTTTCCTTCCACTATGCTGAACACCATGTTCTTCTTTCATCTTGTTAACGTCTTCCAACGGACCCGTGCAATGCAGGGAATGCCTAATAACTCAATCTTTATTTCTTCTAGCATTTAGGAAATCTTACTCTTTCTTTGGACTTACTTGTCGTATTCTATTTGCTAATATTATTCCTTAACGCCATAAGAAAAAAGAAGAACTCTTTCATTTTTCTTCATAACTCGGTAGAATAAGCTGATTAAGTTATCTGCTACTCATACTAATTTATGGTCCCTCTGCCATCTCTGCACACTTTTTGACTAGAAAATGATCTGTCTGCAAGGAAATAACTCCCCTATTATACATCCTATTTGTGTCGCGTCTGCTATATTACCTCTTAAAGGTTCTTCAGAACCTTTCACTAGCTGTCCAAATTGACAGAGATTTCAGAACGAAGACTCAAAGGCTTAATTCATCCATTTACAAGTGTCTTTGTAAGGTAAATCCTTAAAGTACCATTCTGAAGCAGCACGTTCTCTAAATTAAAAGCAGCCATATGATGATTTTGGCACTCGGCACCTCTGTTAAAGGTTATAGCACATGTTATTCAATTTCAACAGCTACATTCAAGCAGCAACAAGATGGTAAATGGTTATTTTTCATTTGTACCTTCAACATCCAAGTCACCACATCCTACACTTCGTAAGTCCTTAGAAAACTCTTGTGTCTTCTCATATGCAACGGCCAGCAATCTGAGATACTTAACAAGGCAAGAAAAGAGTCAAAGCCCTTAGTTTCCCTTTTTGATAAGTACAAAGGAAAAAACAATCTCCGTGACATCACTTACTAATACAAGTCCACCTTCTTCCATGGGAGGTGGGTTAACAAGAGATGGTTTCTGCAAGAGCTTCTCTAGAAGTTTTGGAACACGATCCTCCAAGACACGCTGTTCATAACCTCAATCAATTAGTCATCAGTTCCATAACTGCACTTTCTTTTTGTGGCAATACTCATTCAGAAAACACTTTGCTGGAATGGAAACCATCAGAATATATAAAATACAGCAGACAAATTGGAGGAAGCTCAAGAAACTCATGAGTAGAAATTGCCTGCTTCTAAAATAACTAATGCAATTTCAAAGCACGTATATTACTCCTTTTACGCATATATTGCCAAAGCTCCTTTAACGACATAGCGCATTTTTACTTCATAAATGAAAAACTTGAATCCCCGTTCGATTCACAGGTTAAATTTGGAGAAAAAATAGGCCTATTTCAAAAGAGACTAGTAATTAATCCCTTTCATATCATTTGACCAAATTGTAACTTCTTGAATTCAATAGTTGAAGTATTTAACAAAGACCCAGAATAAGTAAGAATAGAAAATTGAGTTGGCTTAATTTTTGCTGATACAGCACCATCATACAAAAAGAAGATAAAACTAGGACTTAAACTGCCGCAAAAAGTATTAATCAACCATACCTGAACTAATATCGACATTACATCCTTAGGGGAAGGGAAAACTGCTGCTATGGTGGCAGCTTCTTTTCGCACCGTGTCTGGAAGAAAACACAATGTGCTAAAATTTAAAAGGAACATATTTAGAAGAGAAACACCTTTCTTCTAAACTCCAATCAGATTAACCTGTAATCTCTTTAAACATTGAAGAAAGTCCCTTAGCAACATTGCTAGGGCTGGGTTGGGCACCCTCATCACCAAGAACCAATTTGGCATCTGCATTCATCACCTCAACATCAAACATTGGACGTAATCCCACATAGTGTTGCATGGCACTGGTACCCCTGTTAAACTGTTTCGATGAACGAACATGTCAGAAGTTCTTTTTGATATTTGGTACATAATTCAGAGAAAGAGTAAACTGTTTCAGATGTTTCCAATGGAGAACAACCAAAAATTTATGAGACTCTGCCTTGTCCAGAATATGTGCGCAAAGAAAAAGTAATCCCTTTAAGTTATTCATACATTTTGATCAGCTGCACCTTATACCATATTTCCAGTAAGTTTCATGAAGTAATAATCTGATGAAAGAACTTTTGACAGGTCTACAGAAACTGCTTGATTTACCTGTGACAAAATTTTAGCATATTCACCCATCCTAGTCAAATCGCGCTTCTGTGTGGCCGCATCAAATCGAGCTAATAATCTGTTTTCCAACTCTACAGGTTACAAAATAAGAAGATGACTTAGAATGTCCTTCAAGATGAAAATGTGAATGCGACATTAGAGGAAACACACACACACACACAAAAGGGAAAAAAAGAAGAATAGAAATAGATACTTTAGCTAGCAAAAACCATCACAAGTAGAGAAAAAAAGCTAGACATTCATACAGCAAATGTAGAACTCGAGAACCCCACTTAGTTTTACACTTTAGATCTTAAAATGCAGTACTGTCTGTCAATCTCGTAAAATCCATTTGAAACTAAAGAGACAATACCCCAAGTAATCGTTGACAAAATTAATTTTTACAAGTTTAAGCAGATCCACAGATCTTCACAAATGTAGCTACTTCTCCAGATGAAACTTTTTGAAATAAAAACCAGTAACCTGAGCATGAATAAAAGGCATTGGTAACTCAGATGCCCTTTTAATGTACGCTACCCTTCTATGATATGTCAAATTTATGTTTATTGTAAAAAATATTCAGGACTGTCACAAGTTGAGTAAATTCAAGTTAATGGCTTCTAACTCAGAGCTTCAAACTGGACCATCCAATACAAAGATCAGTACAAGTTCAGATTCAGAGCAGTATGATCTTTGAAAGAGCTAGAACATAATATTCTAGCATGCATTATTCCCTTACTTTAAAAACAAATGTTTGATTGACCTCTTTCCTTGTTCTTTTCTCTTCTTAGGGATACAGATGGACTAAACAAAAGTCCCAAAATCCTTATATGAAATGACCTTACATCTTCCAAAAAAAAAGGTCAAGAGACGTGAAAAAGGGTAACACATCGATGATATGAGTTTCATAGTTATTGTGCATGTTCATTGGTCCTGAACATGCTTCGTGCTGGACTACCCAAAGGATAAGAACCTTCTGGCTTAGTTATAATTGTAAAGTCTGTGACTTTAAGTCTTAAGCACTTCCATTGGTGTCAAATATGTTCCATGCCAGACAAGAAAAGCATTGTGTCAAACAACAATGTTATGGTCTAAAATTTGATAAAAATTATTTAGGTGACATAGTTATTGTTTAGTGCCTCCATCATCAATATAGAACCCATTGCGCGATTAGACGCAGGTCTTATTGCCTTGGTGCCTGGGACTTAAGCACTACCTAAGCGAGGTGAATCACTTAACCTGTTTTGAACCTATGTTTAGGGCCTAAAACGCCTTTTTGCGAGCCATTGACGACACTGCCACTTGCTTCCAGAAAAGAATAAAGTAACCGTAGAAGCTAATCAAATGAGGAAGCACAATGTGAGAATGCGCATGTTCTAAGAAGTATCTTAAAAAGGTTCATCTAAGAGTTGTCAAAAGGTTTTTAGAATTCCACATCTCGTGTACTGCTAAATAACCTACTTCTGCTCTCCTTTTTTATCAGCGCGAGTTCAATAAAAAATTCTGCTCCTTTAACATAAAAGCGAAGTTCCAGCTGCGGATTTAGATTCTCCATTTCTCCTTGAGCTAGTTTGTGAATTACTAGCTTGTCAACGAGAACAGCAGTTGCAAAGTTAGCAGTATACAAAGCCATTTTACAGCTCTTGAAGAAATTCATGAGGAGCACTGAACCACAAGTAGTTAAAGAAAAGAATTTTTCACTGTTGTACCATTGCAGTACTCTTGAAGGTTTGAGATAGCAACTTCCAATCCTTTACTTGAAGTTGCATTGCCAACAGCAGAGGAGACAGTTGTTTTTTGTCTTCCAATATCTTCATCAGCAAATGATCCTGAAAACAAATGAAATGTGATTATATCCAGGGGAAAAAATCTTAGTGTTACATATCAAAGAAATTCTCTGTTGTNCTCAGCCATGTTTACTTTGCTTTAACACTTGAAATGATATTTCAAATAATATTTTCGGGTTGAGCATCATGTTTTACTGTTGCCCGAGTGGCTTATGTGATTTTTGACTGAGTAAGGCCGAGCGCCTGTGTTGTGAGGATATCTTATGGGTCGGGCTGCACGCCGTAACGGTGATACACTGATTGTGATTATGAGGCCGAGGGCCTGAGATATGTACGCCACGAGGTGGCTTGTTGATATGAGGCCCAGAGCCTAGAGATGATGCCACGAGATGGCTTGATATTGCGCTTGGGCCGTAAGGGGCCCCTCCCGGAGTCTGCACACCCCCAGTGAGTGCGGGTACCCATTGTGATGTGAGATATAGCCCGAGGGGCTGGTATTGTTCTATGCGATTGGCCGAGGGGCTGGTATTGTTCTGAGATATTGCCCGAGGGGCGGATTTGTTGACATTGTGCCCGAGGAGCGAACCTTATGTGTTTATCTTTCTTATTTGCCTGTCATTTACCTGTTTAATTGTGTATTTGTGCCCGAGGGGCGGATTTTCTGTGCTTATCTGCACTAATTGTTTTGCATTCATTTGTGCAACTGTTGAAAAAGTCATTTTTTTAAAGAAGTTTAAACTGAGGTAAGATGTTTTAAGAGATTTCACAGCTTTATTGCTTTCTTACTGGTTTTTGTACTACTTCTATACAGCATGTTGATGCACTTTTCCTGATTTCTTACCACTCAGACTTTAGTTATGATTATTACTTACTGAGTTGGAGTACTCACTTTACTCTCTGCACCTTGTGTGCAGATTCAGGTATTTTTGCACTCGATAGCAGGTATTGACTGAGCTGAGGCAGAGTCATTGCAGTTTTAGCGAGGTAGTTGCCCGACGTCCGCAGCACAGCTTTACTCCCTCTTGATGTCATTAGACTATTTTGAGTATATTTCCAGAATCCCGTTGTATTTTAGACCTTAGTAGATGCTCGTGACTTGTGACACCCCGGTTAGGGCTGTGTTGGGTTGTACTTCCACATTTTTATCGATATTATCTGCTACTCCGTATTATTAATCATGTCTTAAACTGTTTTACTGCTGTTTTAACTGTTTAACGTCGAATTGGGAATAGTTGGCTAGTCTTGTCTTCACGAGAGGCGTCATCATGACCGAGTCCGGGTTAGGGTCGTGACAGTGGCATTCTTTTAATGGAGGAAGAACACTTAAGTTTTTCTGGGAGTAATCAAATCTTACTTTCTTACTTATGTATTAGATAAATGTAACCCAAGTCATGCATCAAATCAATTTCTTGCAACACTAGCAAAGAACAAAATAGCCGAGTTAATTAAGCAAAGATAATATTTACCTGCAAGTGATCTCCTATTTTGGCTGCAGTATGACCCACACTGGATATACGTGAATCTAGACGTGCAAAGCTACCAAACAATCCATCTACACCTTTTTCCAGCTGCACAATTTAATACTAATCAAAGCTAAGCTCTAGGCTTTCGTTAGATCAATGTGTATATAAAGAAGCTCCATGTACCACCAAAGATAATGAACATGATTAGGTGTTCAACGTAAATAATAGATGATCTGAGAGGCAAATGAAGAACCAAATGGTTCACATCAAGTACATCAAGAAAGAAATATCGTAAGCACATCAAGTAATGTTTCACATCATAGTGTCATTTAACATGTTTACTCGGACACAACTTCGTTCTTTAATTAGTCAAGTCTAGTTCCATGAATCCCATGTTCTTCCTCTCAAAGAAAGAGAAGGATTCCATTCAAGGTGAGATAACGTTTCCAAGCAATAAACGGAAAGGTTTTCCATTATCAAGCTAATGATTTTATCTCGTAACGCCAGAACTATACATATGCGTGAATTTCCTGGTCTTACTGACCTCAGCAAGTGTCTTACGGTGCTTCAAGTCTTGGACAGCAACTTCTTTTTTGAGATTGTTTAGTTTACCATCAACCTTACACCAAAGATAAGGGCTTTAGATAAAAACTATTCAGAAAGAATATACCTCAGTGGATCAGCACAATGTCCTTTATGAATACCTGTCTTTTGAGATCAACCAATTGGGTGCTTGAATTCTTAAATAAAGATAATAAAGCATCAACTTCAGGGAACAATGGGCTTGATAGTCCTTGAGCCGATTTTCCTGCATTTGACCGCAAATTCCCATTTGATAGTGCATCAATTCCAACGATGTTCCCATGACTTTCTGATGAGTCTGCTTCTTTTTCCAGATAAGAAGGCAATAGCTCAGTCACCAAGTTACCAAACAAATCATCAAATGAAAAGTTTCCCTGCATAATCCAACATAGCACATTGCTAACAATTAACAATTGAATATTTTAAATTAAGTTTGGATTATTTTCCGCTCTAAATGATGACTGAGACATCACCTTGAAATCATCAACATCAAGAACTAGTGGATTAGAGTCAGAAGATGCAGATTTTGACATATGATTAGCCTGCGATCCATCTCTAATCTCTTTCATCTAGTCCACATGAAACATGATCATTTGACAAACAGCAAAAGTGAGTAAAAATTAGTACAAATATGGTGCATCAGAGAGAAAGCATCATTATTCTCATTGGCACCAGAAAATTCATTACTAAGTGATATTAGGGCATGATTGACAGCCAGTAGGAACTTAACAATAAAGATAAAACAAATGCCACAAAAATTGAAGAAAATATTGAATCTGCCCAAATACTTCTTATGTCGGGTAAAAGTCGATCGGGTGATTGTAGATGTAGATCTATTTTATGTCAATTTCATCTCTTATTTCACATATTCTTTGGAATAATGCATTTTCATTTGAAATCTTCCCTTTTTTGCTTAACCTTATCATGCTTGTCCAAGTAGCTGGTATTACACAAAAGTTGAACATCATAAGGGCTTATAACAACATTGTTAAGAAAATGGATCCCGCACTTAACTCAACTCCAATAGCTAGCTTAAGCGGTGAGAGTTGTTCAAAAACCACATAAGAAGACACTTAACCGATGTAGGATTCTAACACCCCACATAGTCAAGACTGGACAAGTGGAGTATGTACTCTTAATTGATGTAAAACTCTAGCATACATGAATTGGAGGGTCCCACTGCTCTCATAGGCTTGAATTGGCTTTAATGATAGAGTGTAGTAGAATAATGGCTTGCATCCTTTGCCTGGACTACTTTGGTTACCAACGGTTCAATTGAAGATTCTTCTACTCACTCTCCTTTGAGATAAAAGACCCTTTCGTTCATGTATTGCTTACACCATGTTGAAAGGGAGCCTTGGCGTAACCGGTAAAGTTGCTGTCATGTGACCAGAAGGTTACGGGTTCGAGTCGTGGAAATAGCCTCTTGCACAAATGTAGGGTAAAGTTGTATACAATAGACCCTTGTGGTTCAGCCCTTCCCCGAACTACGCGGATAGCGGGAGCTTAATGCACCGGGCTGCCCTTTTATTGCTTATAACCATGTCATAAACTGTGAGATCCTGTTAAGAAAATACACATTGGGTCTAACTCAACAGTAAAAGCTAACTCATAAAGTGAGAAATTTCCTAAAACTATATAAGGAGACAATGGCCCATTCCCCCAATCAATATGGGACATATAACACCCTGCATACCCAGATTGGACATTTGAAGCATGGACAACACAACATGAGGGTCCCATATTGAGTAAACCAAGAATGGAGTAGGGTCTAGCTCTGATATCATTGAGAAATAGAACACGAGAAATAGTTTATGGGAATGCATACGCACAGAGTAATAGAGAAACCAGACCCAAAAAAGTGAACTACTTAACTTGATACTTATATTATACTCCTGAGAATTTCAACCAAGAGCTGGTAAAGCATATTCTCAACAACCATGAACTACATTGTATTTGGAGACGGACATGTAATCATTATAACCCGACTACCCACGTATAATTAGCCTTGTTTCGTACTAGATGTGGCAAAATGGTTCAAAGAAAATAGTTAACCACCCCTATTATCCACTAAAAAATGGGTTGGATAATGAACTTTTCTAAAATGGGTCAAATATGGATAAGAACCAGATTATCCATTTAGAAAATGGATAACCAATGGGTAACCAATGGATAACCAATGAGTCTAACTTTTTCATTTGTAAAACCTCAAATTGGGGGTTCCTCAAGTGAGGAGACTAAGAATTCTCCCAAAAGTGATCAATATGCAAGAAGTCATGATCCGCCGGTTAGCCCGTTTTTTATCCGTATTAAATATGGTGGGGTCGGATAATTTATTCATTTTTTCATTACCCGTTTTCGACCCGAACCATATCTGACCTGACCCGCCCGTTTGCCACTCCTATTTCGTACATAGAGTAAAGTCCTTATATGCATTGAATCACAGGTTTTATAAAAATTGATGCTACAGCATAGCCCATTAAAATTGTAAATTTGGAGATAGCAAAATCACCATCAAGAAGTGCATTTTCTATGGTAATTGCCTGGCGAAATCATTTGTATTTTGATTTTTGAACAAATACAAAGCTTATTTAACTTGTCCATCTAAAATATAAATACATAAACAATAATGCATAGGAACTTTTTAAACTTAAATTTGTATTCTCACCGTACGTTATGCAATTCTTGATTCTTCTTAAATTGCTGCAGTGTTAATCTCTACTTAGCAATGATGAAGAAAAAGGGACGATGAGAGGGTGCAACATGATGACATATTGAATCTGCAAAGTACGAAAGTTTCGCGGAATCGTAATACTATTTCAAACCCATTAAAAATGTCCCACGTGTTATATATGTGAAGCTAGCTAGGTTTAATTTATACTTCTACAGAAGAAACTTTATTTGTATTTTGCATAACAAACAAAAGTTACGCTAGGCATCTCATTATTTGACAAGTAAAGATACTAATACATGAAAAAAATCAATTAAGAAAAATAAGGGTTGATGAGGTTCTTCAACTTTTAGCTTTTAAATTTTATCCATTTTTTTAATTATAATTTCAACCTTGCTTTTATGATAAAACGATTTGTCACCCTTTATATATTGAAGCTCCTTTAATAAAAATGGATTTTATTGGTGATGAATTTTAAAAAGGGGCAAGTGCAAAAATAACCATTCTTATGGATGTTCTTTAGAAATTAACCAGTACTTATTTTGTCCTGAAATCTTAAACTAAAAATCTTAACTTCAGGATAACTCAGGACATTTTAGTCCTGAAAATTTGAACTGAAAAACTGAAATTTAGGACGCAGGGTAATTCTTAAATAGCAACCTTTTAAAGTGGCTACCTAGTGTCATTTCTACTTCTTTTTTTAAAAATAAGGTAAAAGAAATTTCAAAATTAACAAAAAAAGAAAAGCTAATAAATGTGTGAGACACAAAATAAAAAAAGTTTTCTAATCCTCAAGTTATACTACATCCATAACTCAAGTTGCTTCTAACTTTAGTGTAAGGTCTACAACTAGTACATGCATTTTACACAACACTTGTTCTATAGTAGCTATAGCCTATAAGATCCGGAGAAGTACAAGTGGAGTATACAGCAGGGAGAAACTTTCATAAACCACTATATTTTAGTAGTTATTAGTTAGTTGTAGCTATCATTTACTATATTACTTCCTATAGCTATGTTTTCAGAGTTTTTAGAGTGTATTTGATGTATTTAAGCTATTGTATTCATGAATACAGTAGTATTTCTAGGCGTGAAACAGGGGATTACAGTTAGACAGATTTTTGTATTCGACTGTATTCACGACATGAAATAGGGGATTACAACTGTTTTTAAACAAAAAGTGAATCAATTAACATAATAGACTCCTAATATAACTCAACAAACTCAATTATAACACACAAAATTTGTATTTCCAGTTATAAAAAAGATTCTCAACCGAAAAACACCTCAAACACATAGCAATCTTCAGAGAAAATATGCTGAATATTTTTCCCAGCCGATAAATACAACAATAACAGAGCAATTTGAATACATATATACATTTGAATACATAAATTATATTAATTAAAAAAAACATATGAATATATTCATGGAATACAACGAGACAGTAAAAGTTCTTCTCATTACTTCTTTTTTGTATTCGGTAAGTGAAAGTTCTAAGTACTAATATAATGAGTGCAAGACATAACAATACAAGGAACTCCAAACCAAGAGAAAATTTCAAATGGATAAAAGAAACATGACATCAACAAATGGGCAAAAGCAAAGTAGAGCATTTTTTATAACTGAACTTTTCATTATAAACAACAAGAATGAACTTAAAAAACATCATCTAAACATCCTAGTTTATACTCCTAACATAAGTCAATGTCAGAATCATGCTCCTAAATTCCTAAGATCTCACAGATATACCAATTAAAAGTACCCTAATTTAATTTTAAAAAAATCTTGGATTTCAAAGAAACTCCAAAATGAAAAATACCCTTTTCAAAAACATCATTAAGGTCCAATTTTCCAGAATTAGTAAACCAAGTCATTCTGCATAAAACCATGATTATCAAAATCCAAAACAGAATCCCAATCAAATTCTTCCAAGAAACCTTCCTGATAATAGCATTCTTGATTTTCCACGTTCACCATTCCAAAGAATTCATCAGAATCAGTCTGAACCAGCATTCCATTATTTTGTTCTAATTGTCCCATAGAGAAAACATTAGAGGAAGTGCTCTCCAACATCATAGGACTGTTCTTAGAGAAAATCATAATACTCTGTTGTGAGGGTTCTGAGTGTTGCGGAAGCCAAATATATATAGTGTGAATGAGTCACAATTACTATACCAAAAATTATGGCAGCCATCAAATAATAAATAAGACAATAAAGCAACAATAAAAAGAATACTAGAATTTACGAGGTTCGGACAATTTTGCCTACTTCCTCGGATACAACAAATATTTTATTCCACTCCAAAAATACAAGTGAAATAATACTAAAAGATAGAAGATTCAAATANGTAATAGCCATGTACTCTGCCTCTGTTGTAGACAAAGCAACTGTTGACTGCAAAGTAGACTTCCAACTAACTGGTGCCTTTGCAAAAGTAAACACATAACCAGTAGTTGATCTTCGTTTGTCCAGATCACCCGCAAAATCTGAGTCACAATATCCAACTATAGACTGATTGCCTTCTTGCTCAAAAACTAACCCAACATCTACAGTATTATGAACATACCGTAGAATCCACTTCACAGCTTGCCAATGCTCCTTTCTCGGATTATGCATATATCTACTAATAACTCCAACAGCTTGTGAAATGTCAGGCCTTGTGCAAACCATTGCATACATCAAGCTACCAACAACATTTGCGTATGGTACCTTTGACATATACTCTCGTTCAGCTTCATCCATTGGCGACATATTAGTACTTAGCTTAAAATGGGGAGCAAGTGGAGTACTAACTGGCTTAGTCTTGTCATCTATGCCAAAACGTTGTAGTACTCTTTTCAAATATTCTTTCTGAGATAAACAGAGTTTCTTTGAACGTCTATCTCTTATTATCTCCATGCCAAGAATTTTCTTTGCCTCACCCAGATCCTTCATCTCGAACTCCTTCTTTAGTTGAATCTTCAACTTATCAATTTCTTCCGAATTCTTAGAAGCTATCAACATATCATTAACATATAGGAGAAGATATACAAAAGAACCATCTTTGAGCTTATG